GTGGTGGTGGTGGTGGGACTTTGTTTCAGAGATTGGAGGTACTACTACTAGTAAGTAGTATTTTGTACCTTGTACCTTGGATGTACTTCGGCCGCAAACGCGTGGCTGAAATTAATTTGAACGACTCGGACGCGACAGCACGCGCAGCCAATCACAGCCGCAGCACCGCCGACCAGTAGAAAGCCCAAGCGACAACCTTGCTCGTCCAACTCAGGCACCTCAACCGTGTGTGTGTGTGTGTGTGTTGGATGCCTTGCTGAGGACAGGCAGTTTCCTGCTGAATGCTCACGTCCTGTGCACTCCCTGTTCACCCCTTCGGTCGTCAAGAGCCATTTCTGGTTGCGCCGTCGTCGGCCTCTACTTCTCTCCCTCCATTGGCATTCCCCGCATCCATACGGGCCTGAACATGGCCAAAATCCACAGGAAGGCGCAATCCTAGAACAAATCGTGGCATTCTTAGCGTGTCGATAGTGGCAGGATTGGTGTGGCGCTACCACAAACCCTGCTTTTCCAAAGACAAAGGGGAAAAAAAAAAAAAAAACAGAGCCCGATGACCAGCAGTGAGTACAAAATACTTTCCCTATCCCTTCCGCGGCCATGGACTGACGAATCCCGCCTCGAAGTGGTCGACATCTCCTGGCCCCCCAAGTCCCCCAGGGAGGCGCTGCTGAGCTCTCCCAGCGGGCGAAAAAAATATGAAGAGATGCAGCGCCGTCGAGAAAATTTCGGGTCCCCTCTCAAACGTTCCACGACAACCCCGGAGCTTCGAACAAGATCGGGTCAGCTCTTAGAGGACGGTCTCGAGGACGAGGAGGAAGACGACGACGACGAGGAAACGCTGAAATTGAAGTTGGCAGCAATCGAGGCGCGACTGAAGCTGAAGCAACTTCAGAAAAATCGTGGGAAGCCAGGCACGCCGGGACCAGACGCACACGACAGAGACGATGCGCTGTCCAGACCAGGATCGGCGGTGAGCGCCTCGTCACGGACTCAGGACAATTTCTCAAGGATGAAAGGCGCGAGAGAGACGTCGAGCAGACTCGAGCCCAGTGAGGTGCAGGTCCCATTGTCGCCGACACGGCGTCCGGCAGCCGCAGCTCCGCCCGCCTCCCCGCGAAGGTATATACTCGGTATCGACAAGGGCCGCAAAGGCAGTGATGTTTCTCTAAAGCGACCTCCAAGCTCCAGGACTACCGGCCGGCCGACCAGCGGAGGTGGTATTCGCGACGGCATGGCGTTGCATTCCCACAATGCCCTCACCCAGGCTTTGGCAGGGGAGGTAGGAAGCCGTCCCAAGAGCTTCAGTGAGCGAATGGCCGAGAGCAGATCTGCCGACAAACTCCGAAGGGAACGGGCAGAGAGGCTACAAGTCAACAGGAGCTCAGCGTTCCAATTCGACAAGGCAGAGGTGGACGCTTTCAAGGCGGCAGCGAGGCAAGGAAGGGGTCTCCTACACGGTCACCGACCAGACATCGACAGACGGAAAGCTTCAGCCGAGATGACGTTCTACGGTCATGCAATAATCTCAAGCCCGTAGGCCTGAAAAGAAGCCAGACGCTGCCCAGTGTGCGAAGGAACCCGGATCAGGATGAGCCTGGGTCATATCTCCATAGACGAAACCAAAAGTCTGAATCCGAAGCACAGACAGCTTCCTCTACCAGCTTTGAACATACCGGGTCGGACGACACTCGCGAAGGGAGTGTACCAGACAAGACTCCTGACTCTTCGAAATTCGAACCCTTTTCCTCCCTTCATCTTTCTAACCGCATTCTACCGCACTCCTTTCTAACCCGCACTCTAGCTGACAAGAAGGTTCTCCGCATTCCCGATCTTCTGAGAACAGTAAAGGGGCCCGCCTTTGAGCTCCCTGAAACTGTCAACGGGGACTACGTGGTTTTTGGAATAGTAGCCTCGAAGTCCGAGCCCAGAGAGATCAAAGACTCGAAAAAGGTGTCTGCAAAAGAAGCCGATCCCTTTGATGAAGGACTCAACAACACCAGCAGATACATGTGCATCCAACTCACGGACCTGAAATGGACCATTGACCTGTTCCTTTTCGACACCGCTTTCCCGCGGTATTACAGGCTATCTGAGGGCATTCTTATCGCAATCCTGAACCCGACGATTCTGCCTCCACCGAAGCACAAGCTAGACACCAACAAGTTCAGTCTCGCAATTTCATCGTCTGACGACAAGGTCCTGGAGATAGGCTATGCGCAAGACATCGGCTTCTGCAAGGCCGTCAGGAAGGACGGCAAGACATGCCAAGCGTGGGTTGACGGCCGTAAGACGGAGTTCTGTGACTTCCACATTGATATCCAAGTTCGTCGCACCCAGTCCCAACGAATGGGAGTCAACACCGGGACAGGCATGTTCGGTCCGGGTGGACGCTCTGGGCCACGCACTGGCTTTTTCGGCGGAGGTAAAGGGAAGGGAGAAGGGCCCCGAAAGGGGCTGAAACCCAACGGTGCACAATACGATTTCCAGTCTCAATCTGTATACTATGTTGCGCCGGCCCCCAAGTCCCGAGCGGGCAACGGCTCCTCCTTCGTCATGCCCGGCGGCCAGTCTGCCGCTCGACTCATCGACGCCGATGACGAAGACCCCTTCATCGCTGCCGGCCGGATGGGGCGCGGAATGGAAAACAAAGAAGAACGATTCCGCCGACGGCTTGTCGAACAGCAACGGGAGCGCGATATCGCCCAGAAGCTTACGTCTCGGGGAATCGGAATGGGCGCCGAATATCTTCGGGCTCGAAATTCCGAGAACGTCTCGTCTCCCCTGCCGGAGAATATCACACCGGCGAAGGCAACCCCTACCGCGGAGACCCCTTCGAGTCACTCAGGCCTGCTCGGCTTCAGGAAAGCAAACACGGTGCAACTGGGCCCGTTGAAGCGCGCTCATGATGGCACACACGGCAACAGCGTGAAAAAGACCCGATTCATCACCGCCAAGGGCATCAAGGAAGCCGGAAGAGATAGCCTGGGGATGTCCGAAGCGACCAGGACAGGCTTCGATGATGACGATGACGATGAGCTTGATATCATATAAGACACCAGCACTGCAGATGAACATAGACGCGAAAAGAACCAAGATCACAGGCCATGTTTTGATGAACGCTAACGTCCTCAATAGAGGCTCTTGGAGTTTGTTGGAGTTTCTTTCCTTTCATTTTTTTTTTGTTACCCTTGTATGTACCCTTCTACTCGGCGCTTCTTGTACTTTGATAGTCGCTTCTGGCTGCCTTTATATCTTTTACTTCTAGCAGGCTACGGAGTATTTTATACCTCTTATTGAATCCATTCCTTTGCATACCTTGTACGATGATACACAAACACCACCATTACATATGTTCGGCTGCGTAGCTTTGCGTAGAAAGAGTAGACAGTGGCATTGAATTGCATGCCTTGTGGGATTAGATGGGGGTTAAAGAAGACAAACTTAGTAGATATGATGTTGGTTGTTCATTGGATATCTAAACTAAAGCTATCGAGAGAAGAGCTCAAATACACGCCGGGCTCAGAGGCAGAAAAAAGCATGAAACGAAAACAAAAACTCCATCCAGTAACGTGCTTGCCAGCAAAATCCCTATCCTGTCCATTTACCCATTCCCGTATCCCATTCCGACTGCTGTTCAACAAAGACTTGATTGTATGAACAGACGCAAACCCAGCGCAGCCGGACTATTAAAAAAGGTTCTTAGCCCCGAAACATTGGCATTCAAAAGTCAACATGTCTGGATAACCAGAATCGCCATTAGGAAAAAGACGTAAGAATTCAGAGAGCATCAAAAGCCGAATCACATCGCATGCCAAGAATATCTGAAATCATGCAAGTCAGGACGATGTGACAGCAGCTCGGCTTCCTCTGGTTTTCTTGGTAGCCGGGCCACCGGGGCTGCCGGCCGTCTCAGCAGCGTCCCTCTTCTTGGCTTTGGACCCTGCGGGCACGGGAGTCGGTTTCCTTCTCAGCCAGCCATCAAAGGGACTAACGCGTTTTTTGGTCTCTGGGACCGTAGGTGTTCTGTGCTCCGAATCATCACGCTTGGCTCGAGGACGCAATGAGCGTATTGTCGCACCAGGCGAGGGAGGCGTATCAACAATATTTGGCGGAGGAGTGACTGGCCGCTGCTTCATCTCAACGTCGACGGGGCGATCAACGGCTTCTGCGACATTAGGAACGACCATGTGGTCTTCGATGTCGGTAGCTGCTTCTTCATCGACATCGCTAACATGATTTGACGGAGGCGCGCGGTCGTTTGCAGTGGGGAAGAGCACGCGAGGCTTGATGGACGAGCGAGTGAGTGGTCGAACGTTGGCAGTAATGTCTTCATCCAACAGATCGGGGCGAGCTGCAAGCAAGCCCAAGTCGTCATCGTCATCATCCCCATCACTCTCAACTGGCTCGACGAACTTGCGGAAGATTTTTTTGCCACGGCTGTGGGGTTCATTAGCGAGTACGCTCGATAGATCTCAAAGAATATACTTACAATACATAAGTCATGCCATCGTCACGTTTGACTGATTCGTCAACTTCCTTGTCGCGCTTACTTTGCTCTGCCCTGCGTCTCGAGAAACGAGTAGGGACCGTGGGCTTCTTGCAGAATGGGTTGTCTTCACTTTCGTCCGGCTCGGGAATTCGGTCACGAGAGTCGGTGTAAATCTGGATATTAGATCTGCCCTGAGCGTTGTCGTCAAAGCTATCCAGAGAAAAGCCGGTGTATTTCTTGCTCTTTTTGGTGCGTCCCGAGGGGGGAGGAAAGAGAGCGCGTGCCGTGTTTCCAACATTACTAACCGCTTTCTTCTTTGGCGTTTTGGCAGGTGTTGGCAGCATTCCCTGTGATATGGTGGTCCGAAATGCGTGTAAAGGGCGAGTTGAGTTGGAAGGCTCCGAGGCGCCGAAAGGATCTGAGTCGTCTAGTTCAGAGACGCCATCCAGCGAATGTGCGGCAAGAAAACTGTCGATCCGATCCGATGTCTTCTTGCGGGGGGACCTGCGAGCAGATTCGGGTGGTGACAATGCTCCCAGTTCCTTATGTTGCTTCTTTGTACCTTTAAAACTCTGCGATGGTGGGAAATTTGGCGGAGGGGTTGTGTGTCTCTCCTTTGATGCCCGTTGACCGGCTAGCCTGGCAGAATGCCGCGTAGAGTACGGTTCATATTGGTCATATCCGGGCCCATGTCGTGGAGTGGGAGGCACCCGAAGAGTTGACGGCGGCGGAGGTGTCGTCGCCATTGTGAGGGAGGTTCAACACGGTTCACTCAGAGCTCGGATTATGCACACACACGATATCGAGCAGTAATAATTGAAGACGAGGTTCGTAACCAAGCGTGGTTGTAAGACGTTGGACAATGTGAGCGGTAAAATTGGGCGGTCGCGAGTTCAAGGGGGTACCAAGGGAGGAAAGACGCGCGCGAGTTCGCCGCCGACCGAATGACGGGTAGAACTCTGAAGCTATCCGACTAGCGATCAATTCGTCTATGGAGTCAAGTGGGTAAGATCCGATCGATAATTGTGGAAAGAAAAAGGAGAGAATTAAATTAATTAATTCTTATCGAGCGATAAAGGGAACGATAGCGATGGTGGAGGAGAAAACGAGAGGGTTGGAAGAAGTTTGGTGTTGGTGACGGGGGGGAGCAACGAACGAGGAATGCTTGACGTCGAACCAGCCACACATTTAACACTGAGGCTGAGCCAATCATCCGCCTGCCCCACCGCCCCTCCTCAGGCATTGATTCACCATTCCCGCCTTAGGTCTTAGGCGACGATAGTCACCATACCCAGAACTTATCTACACGTGCAGACAATTACAATAGTCCGATTTGTTTGCCGTCCCTCTTCCCCCCCTCAACGCCCCTCCACAACCACAACTATCCCCACCCCCCTTCGCACACCATGGCTTTCCGCAGCACGGCGGAGGAAATGGAACGACTCCAACTCTCCGATGAAGACACAGACGACCTCTGGGATTCTCCCTCGAAGCGGGGCAGTAGGAAACTGAATCGGATACCCGTTAAAGAAGAGAGCACCACACCCCCGCCCATATCCTCTCACGATGGTGAAACGCTGTTCGACCGCCAAGAAGCGCGCGAGGCAGCCTTGCGGACCGAGTTACAGAGTGTCCGGAACATCAATCAGGTGATTGAAGGCCTTTTGAATAGCCTTGATCGGGCAAAGGGTAACATGGATGTATGTGGAATCTTTTATTGACTTTCATAGTCAAACTGTTTACAGATCGCCAATTTAACGAAAAAAACCCTACATTAGACCGTTTCGCGTACGGTTGATTCCGCGTCCACATTACTCAACACTTGGACGCGTATTCTTTCTCAGACAGAACATAACCAGCGGTTGATCCTCAATCCAAACTGGCAAGGTGCTGTTCAAGATGTCGCCGACTTGGAGAATGAAGAGCGCCTCAAGCAGCAAGCCGCGGAAAGACGGGAACGAGAGTTGCAGGAACAGAGGGAGGCAGCAGCTCGGAGAGCCGAGGAAGAAGAGAAGAGAAGAACGCAAGCCGCTGCTCGAGGCACACGTGGCAGGGTCCGCAGTAGCGGTCTGGGAAGAACACCAAGTGTCTCCTACTCAAGAACCAATCCGAGTGCAACAAGGACCACATCCACTGCGACACGAGGATCTACAACCACAAGTACACGGAGACCGGTCAGTGGAATTGCCCGAGGCCCTAGCGTTACGCGTGGTCGAGGTAGAACTTGAAGAGCTTTGCATAAGTGACGGGACGTCTTCATGTACATTACGATATTTCAATGAGGTAAAAGCTTGCAATATGATACCCAGGAGCATAGATGGTATACAGCCCTTCTCTTTTTTGATCTCTTTTTTTTTTCCCAGGCCAGTGTAAATTGGTGTAGTGCAGTCGTAAACATGATACTCGGGTAGGAGATTTATCAACAGGACGCGTTTTCTGCCTCAGGCGCCAAGACGTCACCGCCATCATGAGCGGCCGATAAAGCTTTACCACCTGATAAGAACCTCACGCTATAATCTCGACGACCACCTTGCCTGCGATCGATATATTGAGCGCAATGAATTTCGCTCCCTATCAGGATGAATCGCCCGAGGTCGAGCGGGCAATGTCGCCTGCCCTCGGCGATGCCAATCGCGTGAAATCGCCCATTATCAGATCTCCTGTCGGCTCTCCTCCGGTTCCAGGTCTCGTACCTAACGCGCTTCCGTCACCGACTCACTTTGTCGGTGGAGTTCAACCAGGAGCAACTGGGTTCGGAAACAGTGGCTATGGCGGAGATGTTGAAAGGGGGAGATGGAACATGGGAGCTTTCGATACGAGTCTACCCATCCGTATGGATTTTGAAGCTATGCTGGCATATCTGCTTCTGCCTCCAGCGGGTGGTGTTTTCCTTCTGCTAGTAGAACACAAAAGCGATTATGTACGGTAAGTATCGAAATTAACCCGATTATGCACTTCCTGACAATTGTACTAATGTTATGCAGCTTTCATGCATGGCAGTCAAGTATGCTTTTTACCGTCATGTTTGTATGTCAAGCCACGTGTCCGACCTTCGGCGAAAAGCGCGCTTACAATTCGTTAGATAATCCATCTCCTATTCGCTTGGTCAAGCTTTTTGTCATGGACTCTGCTCCTATGCGACTTGGCCATGATCGGCTTCTTGAGCATGCGTGCTTATCGCGACGGTAAGTTGAGACATATGCTGGAAAACGCCCTGCAGGACTAACCAAGTCGCAGTTGACACACTTGATCACTACGAGGTGCCCATATTTGGCCGCCTGGCAAACTCCTTTGTTGACGACGAATAAACCTAATTCCGCTTTCAACGGCGATGCATTCGTTTCATATACCCCCCTATGTTCCTCGTCCCGACAAAGCATCGCCTTTTCCCACGGGAAAAACCCCCAGAATCACACCCATTGGGGATGAATTTTCCATTGTATAATGACGACCAAAAGGGTCATTTGATTTACCTACACCCAGAACATGTTTTCCACTAAGTGGATAGGTGCACCGATCAATCTAGCACAAGCGTTGATCCCAACCCCACCAATGTACATACATACATACAACATGCCAATGTACTCTAAATCCTATGTATTCAAGCCATATCTTCCCGTGAAGGGTTCATATCCCATTCTTGCACTCAACATACCCACCTTGTGCAATGCCCGCAAATTCACAGGGTCACTGTGGAGTTAATCTGTTCACATTTGTCGCAATATCCCGCCCTCAAATTCACTCCCACGCCCCAAATAATACCAGCGACTAAGCTATGCTACGCACAATTTCTCCCGTGTTCGATGCTCATCTACACACACACACACACACACACACACACAATCCCAGAGTAAAACACTTAACTCCATCCATTCTTTTCTTTCCCATCGAGCGATCAGGCTCCTGATACCCTCATACGATACCTGTATCCAGGTTGCGAAACAATTGCTCTACCGAGAGCTTCTTTGTGATGACCGGGCCCTAACAGCCTCCCTCCCTCTCCCTCTCTCTCTCTACGCACGATACATACATACATCTTCAGTCCAGACCCAATTAGACAAACTCCGATTACGACTGCCCCGGTCCCAATGTGTCGGGTCACACGCGTTATCCACAAGGAGTGCGGACATGTCAACGACCATGTCGATATGGATTGTAACAGACCGAAGCTCAAACTCAAGGATGCTCGGTGCGATGCCTGGGATCAGCCGCATTGCGCCATAACCTATGTTCGTCTTTTGAAGTCCGCCGAGGGGTACGAGTGCATGAAGTGCAACAATGAGTTGTCGGACGATGAGATCTCGAATGGTTCTTGACCGTGGCTCGAGGGTATGCGGGCTTGAGGTCTTCTCCATGATGTTAATGAGGATACCTTGGGCCGTGCGGGCTCTGTGGGTTCTGGCTTTTCTTCTATAATACTTGCTGTGCCCTAAGTTGGTGGTGCATTCTAGGGCCTGGATGGAGCAGTAGCATTTCGGCGCGGAAACAGCTGTGTTTTTAATGAGATTTGGCAATATTTGCGTGCATACATGGCAATGCCGTTCCAGACCGCTGATCACTAATCAAATAATTATTACTCAAATTAATAGAAGATTGTAGGACAGAATTGAACAACGCAGGGCAGGAACCGCGGAATAGTCCTGGAACATACACCTCTGCCGTTGTGAAATACAGGAATAGAGACCAAACCAAGAACGAACGCTGGCTTCTCAAGAACTCAAAATTCAAGGGTAAAAAGGAGGGTAGAAGGCAAACAAAAGGTATGGGTTATGTCAAAACAACAGCTGGGTGATATCAATCGTAAGCAATCTGGAACACGAAGAAAAAGCATGTGCACCAAGAACATAGAAAATCCCATAGAAGTCGTGGAAATCCGTATCTACATCATGAACACATAATAAACATCGTTCACCTGTGCACAGGCTGTTGTTCATGAAATCGACATTATTTAGATAATTTGCAAGTAATTGCTGGGGACCAAACCGGGTCGTCCGCGGGTGGTGGTAACTTCGGCTTCCCACCAGCCGTCGTCTTGAAGTCGAATGACCGATAGGACATCACCTTTGGTGAAGCCCAGCTCTTCGGGGATTGCAGCGGTATAGCTGTACATGGCTCGGGCTGTAGGCATGATGTTAGTTGAAGTCTCATCACGCAGTGCGGAGGTGTCCGTTTGCTTACCAAAGTGGAGAATGGGGCGACCATCCCGGCTGAACTGTCTGCCAGGATCCGCAACGGCCAGAGTCCTGCTCCTGGACCTGCTTCTATGGCTTCCCCCGTCATAGAATGACCCTGGTCTTCCAGCTTGTCTTGGAGAACCGTACATGTCAACTTGGTTGGAGAGCTGCAACTCCATACCTCCAGCACTCGAGGGACGGGATTGTTGCCGGAACTGTGGCTGCGGTGAAACGCCACGGCTCATGGGGTTAGGAGAAGTTCGCCTTGGGTATTCACGGGGCGAGTATGCTGCATCCGCTGGCCGCTGGGGCGGGGTCGAGACAGTCGGTGACTGACTGAACCGACTTCTCATACTGCTGGATTGGTATGTGCTGGGGCTTGGGCTTGCTCCTCTGCTATATTGACTCATGCGGGTATCTACACGGGGGCTGCTGACATTAGGGCTGGCGCTTCGTCTTGGGGTGGGAGCCTGGCACGATGTACATCTTGGGATTGTGCACGGTTTCTAGTTGCGAGGCCCGAGGTGTTGCTACTACCGCGTAGCATGTTATTCGTTTGTCCTGTGTACTTCTGTGTCGTCTTCTGCATTTGCGCGGATGTGAACGCGGGCTGCGGGGCATCAAGACGTTTCACCGAAGAGTCGTTATATGACGGGGGCGGGGTCGCCACAGATGCGCTGCTGTAATTTGAACTGGGAGCTGAAGGGTTTGGTGTAGCAATGCCATGGTATCTGTCAGCAGAGATCCGGGTGGTGGGCTGTTTGCCCGGTACTTTTAGATCAGCCAGGGCACGCGCAATTGGATCAAGCTCTTCTTCCACACTCTTGGGCGTCTGAGGTGCCTTCGTTTTGTCCTTCTCAGGCGATGCCACATCAAATACATTGTTGCCGACATTAAGCTGGAAATTGGCTCTCGGGTCCACGGGCTCAGGACTACTGGATAGTTGATCGTGTCCAGGAGCAGACATTGGCGGCTGGGGCTGAGGAGCTTTGGTTGGGCTCGATGGCTTTGACGTATCCCATGTGCCACGAGAAGGTGGCTGTGACGGGCCAGAATTCCGCTCCTTGTCATGGCGACTCTTTCGTCGGAATGGGCTGTTGCTAAAGAAGGCGCTCCTCTTCTTCTGGATTTGCTTATCTGTCCCCATGCCATGAAGTGGTACGCCATTTGTCGGCTTTGTTGGGGATTGTCTGGCGCTGGTAGGTTCCTGACTAGACATAGATGTTGGATTGGAGACCTCACTCTGGGAATCACGGCTCGATGGTCGGTAGGCGCTGTTTGTGCCAGAGCTCCGCTCGGAAGGAGGTCCGGTCCTGCAGAACATGGTCATACCATCAGTTGGATACGCATTGTGAGGCACACTGCTAATCTCTCCATGCTCGCTGGGGTCGTAGTTCGGCGGCAGTTGACCACCCCGGCGAAGATCCAAGGGCGCTGGTTGTTGCGTCGCCTTTTGCGGAGTGATGGTGGTTTCCCTACTTGTAGGCGTAGGGGGGTTATTATGAACAATCTTGCTTGCCAGGTCGGACTGTGGGTCGTGATGCGATTCATAAGTTGATGGTTGCGGGGAAGAACTGCGAAACGCCGGATTGATTGTACGCTGGAATTGGGCTACAGAGAAGCCATCTTCTTCTGAGGCCTCCGAGCTGGTATCGTTAATATCACCCCGACAGAAATTAATGAATCGGGGAGGGTCTGGGATATCTTGGCCAGTTCCCCTTTCCTTGATGAAGGAGATGATATCCTTCTCAACCTCACAGCTTTCTAGCGAAAGGCGGATCTTCTCGCACGACTAATGATAAATTAGCAGGCATTTCGTCTTAGCAAGGGGTGACACATACAGCATCGTCGCTAACGCAAACGGTAGATGCAACGTTCGCATAAGCCCACAGGCTACTTTTAGTAAAGTCGAGTCGTTCCTCTTCGAGATCTTGGAATTTCTAGATATTCATTAGTTTCGTCCACCATCTGCTCGGGTTGTCGTTCGGGACATACGTCACAGGCGGATTTCCATTCTTTATTCCAGCGACCAGTCGTCTCTTCAAGCACTTTAATGGCAGCTTCATACTCGCTGCTGCTGGAAGCCAGCTGGACCTGCGTCTTCTCCAGCTTCGCTTTGTTTTTGCGTTCTTCCTGTCCCATGACCATGTGTCCCTGGGCGAGGTATCCCTTGATTCTTAGGCAGTCTTGCTCATACCGATCTCGGGTCTGCAGTCTAATCAGTACGTCCTAATTCTTCACCTTTGTAGCCTCAACTTACCTTATTAACTGTTTGAGTCTGCTGCATCTTGGTTTTCAGCAGGCGCTCGATCCCTGTTTGTATGATCTTTCTTCGCTCTTTCGATCCACCAGCAAACGCTACCAATGGCTCTTCCAGCTCCCTTTTCATCTGTCCTGCTATAGCACCGTGTGCCTTGGCAATTGCCTCTGTTTCGCCACGGACAACATCGAAGGAAGATCGAAGGGAACCTAGCTCTGTCGACCCAAGGGGTTTTCGGCAAAGAGCCAGCAGCTTGCGCGCATATTCCTCTTCAATGGCAGCACGGACTGTTTACTTCATTAGAATCTCCTCACATTTCCCCATGACCAGCCCGCAATTCGGAGTACGTACTGTTATAGAACGTCTTGAGTTCATCGCAAGACACTTTGGCAGTGTGCATGCGTTCAAACATGGGTCCAACACCTGCATCATCCTTTCCCCAGAAATTGTTGGCAACTATTGTAATAGACAGCGTTAGTAGGAGCTATTCATGATATTGTTAGATCTGTTCTAGGGGCCATACAGGACATGGCCACTGTTGGCCCATCAGCCACAGTTCCGGGCATCTTTTTTTTTTTTTGACAGATTATAGTCGGTTAATCTTTCCGAGCTTTGGCCAGCCTTTGCTCATCTGATCGCCGGAAATCAAAAGAAAACAAGGAGCAGGATCGAATGTCGTCCAAGAAATAAGTAAATGAAAGCAATACTACAACCAGAATAAGATTCCGGAGAATTAGGGAGGCAGGAGAGCAGTCTGGAGAATATCCCCGGAGACGGCAAAGGGGAAAGAAGGGGAGAAAGAAAGCCAGGAACCACGGAAAGAATGGGCAGAACAGCAGCAGAATGGAGCTGAATCTGGTGGAGCTGATCCTCAGGTAAGGTTGAGTCTGGAATGGATGACGGGGCGATGTTTACAGCTCCACGTTTCTCGGGGCAACCGGTCCATCACGGGGGCACGTCATTTTAATGTATTAAAGGTACGGTACCGTCCCACGACCTGCCACTCAATTTCAAGTACGTGCGGTACTCCGTAGTCACGCTGGCCTCCCGTGACTTTAGCGCCCGCTCCGGGCATCGAGGGAGTGGAAACTCTCGATGCACACCGGTGCTGGCAACCCCAATCACGGGGTGTAATTTGCTCTCTCTCTCTCTCCCTTGGGGAACTTTACCACGGTTTGGGTAGTAATTGACCACGCGTCGTGATTGCTGCCCATTTCCTGAAACGAGTTGGTCAGGTACTAGGGAAGCGCGTCCATCACTCGTGGTTCAATTTGAGTGCCAGCCACAGTCGAATACAGAGTACAGGTTGCAGATCCATACAGATCCCCAGCCCACCTGAAGCATCACTGACAGTTCCCAACCCCAACGGGCTATCTGCGTCTTTTTGCCACCGCTTTTAAGCTCCGCCTGCCAAGATAAGTAATGTACCGAATGGCCCGCTAATTGAACCTTGCCTCAGGCATGCATACCATAGATTGATCACGATCCACCCCTTAGCCCTATTGCACATTCTTGCACTCCTTCTTACAATCGATACTTCCGGCGCTATTCGATATATGATATCTAGAAGTCTCACTCAAAGTAGAGGGAGCCAATTGGAAATCGCTACTTCGGCGACCATTTTCCGGGTCTGGATAGCCAATACCATCCATCCGTAGGCCAATTCCCACGGCGACAAGCTTACCTCCATGCAGGACCACCTCGAACAATTTGCCGAAGAGCATGAGTAGCCAGTATACCGAGAAGGTAATAGGTGACAGACCATCGGTCAGATGCTTAGTCAAGGAGAGGAAGAGAGAGTTGTATTATACCAGAATACAGCCTCTACTAGGGGGTCTGCTGCTCAAGAATCATCCACATCGCGACTAGCACAGTACGGGCTCTTTCTTCTTAGTATATGCCCAAACTTCCACAGAAAGATAACGCCAGTAAGACCAATGCACAATTCAATATTACCCAGTATGCTGGAAGTCCAACCATATCCCAATCGCTCATCCATAATCCATGTCAGAGATGGCAATCTCGTCACAGGAGAAAGACAGTAACTCACGCATAAGGCGAAAATAAAGGAAACGCAAATCCCGCCAAGCACCGGAGCATCGACGTCGCAGCAAGAGCACTAGCCGAGTACCGCCCAGACGTGTCCACAACATAGATATTGTTCGAGACAGTGCAGATGTACGCGGCAGCCGCGAAAAGCGCAATCCCGATGTCAGGCATGAGCCAGAATAGGTGAGCCTCAGCGCTCCAGCTGTACCAGAACAGGCCGATGGCCCGGATAACCGTGGCAGGAATCATAATTTCGGATCCCTCTTGTAGCTAGCTAAAATTGTGAATATAATTGTGGAGTGAAAGACCGCTCTGAAAAGCGCCCATTAGGGAAGGCCAATTGATATGCATCAATGGAATTATAGCTTGTGGGTGTCCAGAGCACGTCTGCTTCAGTGTTGTATATCAAACTGGTGTTGGTTAATGTAGGGCTATGGTTCAGTGACTATCAAACTCAATATTGATCACAATCTGGAATAGTTGATCATATTATATCAGCAGTGATACTTGACTGGTTCGCCCATATTTATTCAATTTCTATGTATTACCTAAGGATGAGCACTATATGATGAAACCCCCCTCCTCCAATTCTGATATATTAAAGGAACTCGATCCGGCAACATCGCGTCTTCCCATTTGTATAAGGTATTACTACACAGCCTTGTCTCTAGAACTCTTGAAAAAGCTCTTTCACAATGAGTCCACGACTAGGATAATGCACGCTCATCAAGTTCGAAAGATCACAGATTAGAATAGGAGGCCATGGCTATATTGTTGCAAAGCTCGTTTCAGAGAAAGTTGACCGTGTTCTCGGAGAGAGGCGGGCAGTATTTTATGCTAGCAGAGCAGAGGATGAAATGGAAGCTGTGGTCAAACTTCGTTTTCAGTAAGTCCTCCTAGCTCTGTCGACGTGTACCGTGCCCCCATTGATGTATGCTTCGAATACACTAATACTTTGACTTCCAGGTTGCAATCGATGTGGCTGGATGAGCCTAGATCGTACGCCCACCACATAGGGGGAAAGAGGATCTTTCAAGATGAGGTCCACGCGCTTCAGCTCTTAGGGCCACTTCACGGAACGCCAACCCTCTATGACCATGGTGTGCTGCGACAGACTGACCGACATGATTACCCTGGGGGGATTATTAACGCTATTGCGATGTCAAAAATTCCCGGAAAACCTGCCACCGAGTATGGAGATCTAAATGGTACAGAAGGGCCCTACCTCAAGAGCAAGGTGACACAAATTCTTGAGTAAGTCAAGCACTTGAGTACCCACTATCTGTATAGCTGTCAATCGTGTTATATAGAGACATCCGTCTCCTTGGCTGGGAGATGGATGATGGTAGCCCCGACAATATTATCTACGACCGTCCCACGAGAACTGTGTACGAGTTTGCCGCTCCTAGGGTTTTCAACATTGCGCTGACTCCACTATAGTTCAATTACATGTGTTGCTGATGGAACAGATACGGATCCCACCGAATCTAGGCCTATAACGGAAAGACATAGCCTCGTCCGTATTCTTGGGCAGAACTTGTGGTGGATGTAACTCTGCGCCGTCATTCCCCATGGCCAACGACACAAAGTAGCACCATATTCTGCTAGGTGAACGCATTGCTAATCTTGACTAGATAAGGGGTAGGCCCTCAAAGAGGTGTATCCGTCTGATAGACAATTTTATCCCTTCTACGCGTGGAAGTAGTCGGGCTGTCACTCTCCACTACTCGCTCCTCTCACTTTGTTCTCTTCCTTAACAGTGCCTTTCTAGATAGCTTTCTGACTGCGCCGAGTTTGGGTTGTATCAGAGAAGCTTCCGTTGGCCTATGTCTCCAGTGTAGCGGGTAGTTTTTATTTCTTCGCTTCATCAAATTGGGTAATAATGAAAAAAGATAGAACTACAGTGAAAGGGGTGGGGGTCAATCTCTTGAAGCATACTATGCATAATTACATATTGTATAGTTAGATTCTACTACTACTGAGTCTATGAGATACTAGAAACCGCAGCCACTGGAACCGCGTGAACGGCCTCTAGGAGGCGCTTATAGTTGCCTGTGGTCGGAAGCAACTCTAAGCGCCTCAATTTATCACATCATGAACGAAAGCGAAAGGCAATTCCAGATGGCTGAGATATTATTTAAATATTATTGTGTGGGCAGGTTTGGCCCTCAGATTCAATTCAACTCGTGTTTGCTGCACTGGTCAACCTCATTAAACAACGACGTCGTACAACAACACACGACAAAATGGATTAAATACCCGA